CCAGATATAAAGACATTATTTTTATCAATTTACAACCTGAATATTATAACACAGGTTTGACAATCCTTAAGAACCAGTATTAAGTCTATCAACATTATATTACATTAGGACCATAACATTTCACCCCCCAAAGACTCATGCACATCCCTTTATGCAAAAGGCGTTTAGTCCATCTGTAAAAGTTGCCAAAGTCCTAACAGTTTTAGCATTGCTGAAAAGTCCAAGTCCCAAGTTTCCTCTGAGATGTAAGGCAAATTCTTAGCTGTGAGCCCCTGTACAAATGAAAAGTTAAACACTTCCAACATTCAGTGGCACAAAATAAATATTACCATTCCAAAAGGTACAAACAGGGGCATACACAGCATTGGGACCAAAGCAAGTCCAACATCCAGCAGGGCAAACAGTAAGTCCTGTAGCTCCATGTCCAGCATCTGAAGCAATCTGTGGCACACTGTGAGCTCTCAAAGGCTTGCATGATGCTACCCCTATAGCACCTCTGGTGGCTACAGCTCTTATGGTTTTTCTCTTAGGCCCGCTTTGCTCATTCCTTGCAGCTTTCCTCAAACAATCCTTTTTTTTTTTTTTTTTTTTTTTTTCCTTATCCACATTGATCAGTTTGTTCAGTGCAGTATCTTTTGGGGTTTTTGTTTTTTTTTTTTTGCTTTTTTAATCTTTTGGTGTCTCCTCTGTACTTTTTGCTTTACACTCACAGCTTCGCACACTGCCCCCTCAGGGGCACACTGCCTGGCCTCCCATACCTTTTGAAAGCTAGGTGGAAGCTTTTTAACCTCAGAACTCCTGTATTTTGTATGTGTCTAAAACCAGTGTGACACGGACGATGCCAAGGTCCACTGCCACCTACAGCAGTAACAAGGCTTTTTTGTTTTTGACTGTAGGGATCGAGTGCCTGGATCACTGAGCACTCTGAACCTGATTTTGAGGAGCAAATTTTTTATGCCACTTCAATTTTGGAACCTGGTGCAGCTGCCACCTCCACTTTGGAACATGGCGCTCTGTGGCCTTTTTTTTTTTTTTAAGCAGTCTTATACTTTTGCAAGTTTGAGGTTGTAAAGAGCGCAGATTTGTTTTTATTGATTCTCTCAGGGTATCTTTTTTATTTTATTTTTTCTTTTTAGCAATTAAGATTTTTTAGCTCTATCTTTGTAATCTACAGCTTTACTGGAGTTTTGTGGGGGTTTTTTGGCCAAACTCACATTTTAAGTCATCCTGCTATGCTCTTTGCTCTTGATTTTCAACATAAATCTGGCTAAAAGCCCCCAACAATATCCATGTCACCACCTCAACATTTGACTGCCTTGAAATTTTTTTTGCCAGATTAATTAGTCCACTACTCTTAATCTCAGTCTTAGCCCTAGTCTCTGGACATGAGCAAAACACAGAAAAACATTCTGCCCAGCCATAACACACATCATCTAGAGTCCAGCACTCAGTGCAGTCCTTTCCTGCACAAACCTCCTGAGGCTGGTCTTTTTTTGGCAGGATGTTTATTAGCCTTCTGGTCTTTTGAGCTCTGACCAGAATCTCCCATATAGGACAGCTGAAGGTGTTCTAGCTCTGCTCTTTCAGGCTGTAAGGAAAAATTTTATGGGAACCAGCTGTCCTCCAGCTATAGATAAGCAGCATGAGACTGCCCAGAAGGTGTTAGGAGTTTCAGGAAAATATCTCCCATCCTGTCCTTGGGAAAAGAAACCACAAAGGAACATACTCAGAGCAACTATCTTGCCTTTGACACTCCCTCATTCCTGAGTCTCCTCACAAAATCCCCAAATGATTGTAAAAGTCAATTTAAACTAACCAATGCTATCTGCTTCTGTAACTTCGCTTGCAAAGGCCCGCCCTTTGTGGTTTTTGGGTTTAAAAGCCGGACTTAACCCCAGCTCGGCGCTCTCTGTTCCTGCGTGTTCAGTGAGCCCCACGCATGCCTGGTAAATAAACTCCCCTTGCTTATTGCATGAGAGAGCGTCTCTTGGAGTCTTCCTTCACGCGGCGAGATTCTCGACCCTTACAAGGCGACATCTCCAAACCTTTCCAAATACTTTTCTCTAGCCATATTTACAGGCTCTACCACATGGTCAGTTATGTCACAGTAACAGCCCCACTCTCGGTACCAAATTTTGTCTTAATTCCTTTTTTCTTGTTGCTGACACAAAATACCCAATGCCTAAAATTAAGAAAGAAAAGGTTTATTTAGCTCACAGTTTATGGAGGTTTCAGTCTATAATTAGCTGGCTCCAAGGCAGGGTGGCAGGGCACAGGGACAATACTTCAAGGCAGCACAAGACAGCCAAAGCAGCAAGAACAAAGGAAGAGAGCAGCCTGTTTTTCCTCCTTACATTATATGCGGGCTATCCACCCATCCCCAAACCTCTTGGTGCCCTCCTCTTGCACAGGCTCCAGATGTAAAGCGGCTGAGTCACTTAGCCAAGCTTCTAAGATTCCTCAAGTTGACACAATGTGTCAATCACAACAATCTCTAAATTACTGAAAGAAAAGTCATCGATCTAAAATTTTTTATCCAGCAAATTCTGTTTGATAAACACATGGGACAGGGGGCTGGGGATTTAGCTCCGTGACATAGCACCTGCCTGGCAAACGCACGATAGTGAGTTCAATTCCCGGTACCAAAAAAAAAAAAACAAAAAACCACATGGGACAAAGATTTTCTTGGGTATACGAAAGCAAAACATACCCATCACCAGCAAAACTCCACTATAGGAAATATTAAATCTTCAAAATAAAAGGAATAGGATACTAATGGAAATATGAATCCAAGAATAAAGAACATTAGAAACATTAACTACAGGGGTAAATAAAAGGTAATTCTTCCTGATTTAAATATCCATATAAAATAATTGACTATTTAAAGCAAAAATAAAACTATGCTGTGGAGTTTATAACAAGTATAGAGTAAACTATATGATAACACTAGCAAAATGTCCAGGAAAGGAGGGATGGAAATACACTATTTTAAGGTGCTTACTATATACTGTGAGGCAGTATTCATGGAAATACACAATGGTAAGTTAAAAATCTCTACTATAAGCCTCAAAGCAACCACTAAAATAACACAGCAAAGAGGGATGGCTAAGAAGCCAAGAAAGGAAATTGACTGGAATCATTTAAAAATTCATTATCCTAAAAGAAGGGAGAAAAACATTAAAGGGCAAACCAAGAATAAGTAAGGTGTGTTAGCTTTGCGTAGCCATGACAAAATGCCTAATATTAACAGTGTAAAAGAGGAGAGGTTCATTTTGGCGCACAGTTTGAGAGGTTTCAGCTCACGGTCAGCTGGCTCCACTGCTTTCAGGTTGTAGAGAGGAACTGCTCATGGCCTTGGCCACTAGCTGGCTCTGCCCAGATCACAGCTGTTGCCCTTGCCCTCGGTGCTTCACGATGCCGCATGTGCTTGCTTTTCCCTGGGAGAGCACCCTTCCTCCACAGCCAACCTCAGCAGTCCCTTCCCACATTCTTTGCTCCCCTCTCTCCAGATCCCTGCATGTCAGAAGGCCTTGGCATTGGGTGCTCAGAACCACTCCCCCAGCTTCCATTCCCTCCCTAAGTGGTTCCATGGCCTCAGACGTCATCTCTGTTGTTATGATGTGTGTCTAGATGTCCTTCCAAAGCCTCTTGCAGTCATGGGGCAGGCTTCCACAGTTTTCGATTGACTCATACTCCAATGAGATGATAGGTGTGAGTGCTACACCCATCCTGGGGTGGGTAACCTGCATACAATATAAGGGAGGGAAAGATGCCTGCTTGCTGCAGCTCTTCCCTTTTTGCTCTTGTTGGTTTTGCTGTCTTCCTCCGCCATGAACTGTTGCCCTCTGCCATGTGCCACTCTGCCTTGGAGCCAGCTGAGTATGGACTGAAACCTTCACAGACTGTAAGCTAAATAAACCTTTCCTTCCTTAACTTTGGGTGCTGGGTATTTTGTCTCAGCAATGAGAGAGAAAATGTAACCAAGACATCTGTGCTGGTGGTTTTTCAGTTTTTCATTCTCAGATTGCTTTCATGCTCCAGACCCATACCCAAGCTGCCCTTCTCCAAATCCCCATTAGGACGCTTTGGAAGGTTTCAATTAGGATGTGGGAAAACTCAGGGATTCATTCACTCATCCCCACCCCAAACCTGCTCCCTCTACCATCCATGCCATTGCTCAGGCTAAAGAAGTGTGTGGACTCTCCCAATGCCTGTCCATTCAATAGAGTGTGTCCTGTCCTTAGAAGGTCCTCCCTGCCTGGCTCCACCCACCTGGTAGAGTGCTCTGTCCAGGACCCTCCTCTTGCACCCCACTGGGCCCCCACTGGCCTTTCTGCAGTCCAATTCCTCCCTGACCTAGGCCATCTTGTACTTCTGGACCCTTCTATTTGCAAAGATTTTCTTTCAAGCAGCGAAAACATGCCAAAAGAGTATGGACAGTTGTTGGCACATCTGCCCCCATGTGTCTGCTCCTGACATGCTGCCACCTGCAGGTCACTGAGAGCGTAGGTCCTTCTGTTCCCCAGTCACCACCTGGAGAGGGTGGGGCCTCCCCTGACCCACTAGCCATGATGGCCTTGAACACAAGTCCACAGCCCCCAGACCCAGCTCCTGACCTTGTCCCACTCATCTTCGTATCATCCATCAGGACCTAAAATCAGCTGCCTTCTTCATTTATTTTCATGTTTACGGCTGATGGTTCCAAGTCCCTGTCTTGAACAGAATTTTCTGTGGGTCAAAGAATGAAAGTCTCTTCCTGCTCTCTTTCTCAATGTCTCTCATGTGATAAGGACCTGGAAAACAATCATTACTGCGACAGTTGCGAGGAGATAGAGGTGTGCGTGTTTTCCATAGTTCAATCCTAATATTTCCCATTTTGGGAGAAATGATTATAAGGGTCTTTTTTTTTTAACCTCCCAAGTTCTTTTAGAGCTCCTAATTATTTTTTTGCACTTATAAATGTTCTTCTGAAATAAGGAAAAGACAGGAGACACAGGCACTTTGTATCACTGAACTATAGGTTTTTATTAGGATAAGCATTTCTTGCAGCTGTAAGCAAAGCATTGGATTCCTCAAGCTAATGCACTTCCCACGGCACAGGGTGCTGAGAAGAGACAGAAAGCCCCTTACACACATCCAGGTTCCATGGCGCACAGAGACTCAGGGGAGGATTCGTGCAGGCTGCACCTGTACACACGCTGTAAGGCACTGGAGGGCAGGTGGCGTGGAGGTGGGGCAGGACAGAGAGGAGGCTCCCACGTCCCCCGTGCTGGGCCACAGTCTCCCAGCTCCAGCCCTCAGCTCCCACGACAGGTGCCCAGAGTCCCAGAGGAGGACACATGATATTCTCTCGATCTGTTTAGAGCCCAAATGATTCAGAAAATTTCACAGTGTCATTCCCACCCGAACTTATCAGAAGACCAAATACATCTTATCAACTTGCCATTGTACTTCTTGTAAAATAAACCTCAATCAAACCCAGATTTTTATCAGCACACTTCAAAAAGCCACTGATGTGAAAAAGAAGCATTGGCCCATTAGGGGAGAGCATTTTTACTGGAACCTACAGGGGTTACCATGCCAGCAGAAGTTACTTCTTAATACCCAGGGGACAGGAAACCCCTGTGCCCCCGAGGCCACAGTAGCCATCCGGGTTCTTGCTCAGGTACTGCTGGTGGTAGTCTTCTGCATAGTAGAAAGTCTGGCCCTCCCGGATGTCGGTGGTGATTGGACCAAAGCCGTGCTTTGACAGACCCTGTGGAGAAAGAGAGAAAAAGAGAGGGATCTCAGGACCCAGTGCTGGACAAGGATCTCCCAGAGGAGGAAGAGGAGGGCGGGCAGGTGTGGCAGGCGGCAGATGGAGGCCTAGGTTGTGCACTGTCTCTGCGCTTCCCGGTGGGTGATTCTGGGCGGGCACTTTCCCCACTCTGCCTTGGTGAGCAGGGTCTTGAAGTCGGGTGTGAAACAGGTTTCTGACTCTGAAGTCTGTGTTCCACCCGCTGCCCACTGTTGCCCAGCATGTGCTGGGGCCCTGGGAACCCTGAAGCTCCCCCAGGGGACAGCAGGTACGAGTGGCTCTTGGCCGCACACCAGGAAGGACAGGCTCCCTGCCAGGACCCCAGCAGGGACCGGCCCAGCCCCTGCCAGGCTGCACAGAGAAGAGCAGGGTCTCTGCTTAGATGTCTGGGGAGCAGGGGTCCTGCGCAGTGTGTGCTCTGAGCTCTGGCCAGGTCAGGGAAGGCTGTGGCCTGAGGGCCTGTGTCAGCCCATCCCACCCTCTGCGACCCAGTTTAGGCCTGGTGGCATCTGTGCTCATGTCAACACAACCTGGGGGAGGTGAGCGGAGCTTTTTGGGGCAGGAGACCGATTAAGAAGTAGAAGCTGCTCCCCATGGAGGTTAGTGGCTTCCTCTGCTTCAGGATGGCAGCGGCGCCCAGGTTCCTGCTCCTTGTAAGCTGGGAGCGTTTGAGCATTAGGCAGCAGAGACCCAGCCCCGTGAGTGACTCCCCTTGACACAGAGCTGCAGAGCCTGTCCCTCTGTGGTCAGGACCTCCGCCCTGCGGCACAGGGAATCCCATATCAGCACTCAGCACGGTTCACTGCCTCCAGCTCCTCCTGAGAACCTAACCCTTTCCCGAGTCTCTGCTTAGAAAGAGGCAGATTCACAGTCTCACAGCCACACAGCCCCGAACGGTAAGGGACAGAGTCCTCACCGAGGTAGGCGGTTGGACCAGACGGTGCGGGGCGGGCGGAGCAGCCAGTTTTCCAGCAGGGGTTAGAAATGAGAATGAGGAGCCATCCTCGTGTCAGTTTGACAATTTCTTTTTGTAAGCTAGCAATTATTGAGGGTTTACCATATGTTGCACTCCATACAAAGACTTCACATGTGTTAATTTTAGCCTCACAACAGTCCTAGGAAGGAAGTCCTATTATTATCACCCATGTCTAAAAGTGTGTGTCAGATATTGTGCCTTGATACCTGATGTCCTCAGCTGGCCCTGGGACTATGGCAGCAGAACACCTTGGGACCACACTTCCCAGGTTCAGCTGCTGGCTCACTTTAGGTTGCACCAGTGAGAGCAGCCCTCGTGGCAGCTAAGTGCAAGGAGGGGCTATTACCTGCAAGGTGCCAGGCTGAGGTGGGCACAGGTGTCTGCAGAGAGCTCTTCTTGGCCACCTCCTGGGAGCCACTGTCCCTGGGCATCGGGCAGTGAATCATCAGACAATGGGTTCTGATGATTTCTGTAACTCCTTGGTATCCTGAAGTCTAATGGAGAACGTTCATTCTAACAGCCCACATCTAATCTAAGGGGATTCTGAACCCCTTAGACCGCTTGGGCATCCTGACTTCCTGAGCCCTCATGATGATTCTGGAGACACCAATTTCCCTGTATAAGCCCACCCTGCTTGGAAGACCTGTGCGTTTTCTGTTTCCCTGACTTAACCAAGGCAAACCCAGCACTTGGTAGCAGCACTGTGTTCAGGAAACAGAACCTCTGCGGGAATGAGGATCAGAGACTGCCCGGAGGGCACGAGAGGCCCAGGGTCAGGAGGGAGCTCCTGGGGGCGGGACGGGCTGGGGCCCACTGTGCATGCAGTGGCAACATGAGGCAATGCAAGCCCTGCAGTTTTGTGCGGACACGGGCGGTTGCGGGAATGGAATACTGCGGAGAAAATGACCCGCGAGAGGCCCGTGGGGTGTGAAGGCCACCCAGATGGCCGAGAGCTTGCAGAAAAGAAAAGTCGCCAGGTTCAGAGAACAGGAGAACTTCATGATTCTTCATGACCCGGGGCGCGGCCCTTCCCAGTCTCCTTCACGCTGGGGGCCAGCAGCCTCCGCGTGGCCCCAGGTGTCTGCGGCGTCTCCTCCAGGTCTGTTTCTCCTGAGGGTGGGCAGCCCCGCGGCCCCTCCTCACTGCCCGCCTGACTCCCCTCCTTCCAGATGACTGAGCCTGTATGAATGCGGGAGGGCGTCCTGTGCCAGGACTTCTCCAGACACTTCTGTGAATCAGGCTGGAGGAAGCAGGTCCCAGCGGGGCTCTAGGGAAACAGTGGGGAGGCCAGCGGGTGGGGATCGGGCAGTACCAGCCCTCAGCCACCAGATGGCAGTCACTTCACTCATCAGAACGTGCACGGGCAGGGAGGAAGCTGACAGCACAGAGGCTGCCCAGGAGAACGCGCCACCGGCCGGGGTCCCACACAGCCACCTCCTGGGTGGGGACTCACTCTTGCGGGAAGACTGCCCGTGCTGGGCCCCCACAGCTGTGCTTTTCCTGGGGCGCCTGCTCCTGCACCAGCTCCCTAGGAGGATGTGGTCTGGGCCACTCCATTCTGTGCCCCGTTGTTCCCCCCACCACCACTGACTCCAAAATCATTAGCTCAAGTTAAGGTACATGATCGTGACGCTTTGGTGTGTGTGTGTGTGTGTGTGTGTGTGTGTGTGTGTGTGTGTGTGTGGCTGACTTTTTGAGAGGCATAAGTGAGGCCTGACATTTGGCTCCAGACATTCCTAGAAGGTTACCCAGTGGAAGCGGTCACCTTGCGCTCTCATAGACCCTAACATCATCCCTTCCCCCACGGCCCCAGGAGGCCCCCTGCACCTCCCTGCATCATTTTCCTCCCGGAAGCAGCTTTCCTCTCTGTCAGATGGGCACAGGCCGAGCTCACCACGCGGCTCTGAGAGGACGGATGCATCGGAAGCATCACACCCTGGCGCTGGCTCCTGTCCCACATCCTCACCCCAGGCGACTGTGGGCCCTCCCACCTCACTCTCCTCAGGGGCCACCTCCAGCCCCTGACACAGTCCCCGCTTCTGCAGTCTGTGGGGCCCCACTAGGCTGAAGCAGAGCCCCCCAAAGCCTTATTATTTCTTCATATTATTTCTCTTCACTCCTCAGCTGATGCCAGACCAAGGACTCTGTCATCAAGACTGAACATTAAGTACTTGCCTATAATCCCAGCACTCTGGGAGGCTGAGGTAGGAGAATTCAAGACTAATCTGGGCAACTTAGCAAGAATCTGGATCCAAACAGAAAAATAAAAATGGGCTGGGGATATAGCTCAATGCAAAGGCCCTGGTTTCAATCCTCAGCACTACAGAAAGAACAAAAAAGAAAGAACAAAGGTGAAAGAGAAAAAGAAAGGAAGAAAGAATGAGAAAGAAAAAAAGAAAGAAAGAAAGAAGGAAAGAAAGAAAGAAAGAAAGAAAGAAAGAAAGAAAGAAAGAAAGAAAGAAAGGGAACTGAAGGCCAGCACAGAGCTTGCCCAAGGTCGCCTAGCAGCAGGAGAGCAGGACCGCCTGGCTCCTGCCCCCTCAGAAGGCCACAGGCACAAACACGGCACCCCACAAACGTCCTGAGTATCACACTGGAGGGTCGGAAGAGCACACTGCCGGTGGAGGTCAGAGGAGTTGCTGCTGGTGGCTGTCCTCTCATTCTCCATTTCACCGCCCTCGAAGTTGTGCAGGGCAGGGGCCACTGTTTCACTGCCACCCACGAGGAGACCAAAAGCTATGGAGAACCTTGCCCACGTTCTTGTGCTGGAGATTAGAGGCGGGTGGGGACAGGACTGAGACCTGCCCAGTTCTGGGTTTCGTGTTTCTTCCCACGCACATGCTGTCCCCACTGGGCACTAAAGGGAGCCAGCACCCAGGGAGCGGAGTGGCCACACCAAAGACCAACCAGTGTGCACCCAGGAGAACAGGGCGGGAGGACAGGGCCCAGCTCTGGGCATACGGATGTGTGTGCACGTGTGCATGCATGTGGGACGGGAGGGGTGTATACCACATGGACATGCATAGGAGTACCTGTAAGGACACTACATGATATACAGTCACCCCTCACTGTGGACTGACCTAGATGCACCTCTTGCGTCTTAGAAACTGTACCACAAAGGAGAAGCTCAAATGCACGCTAGTGGTTCTTACCATCCAGGGGGAGATGTGATCAAGGGTTTCCCTGAGAAGCCAGTGAACATTAGTGATGCTTTTCCCATAGAGATTCACAATCAAATATCTGCTTATAATTCCCAAGGGTTCTGTGGTCCTCTGGAGTCCAACCATGACCCCAGATTCAGAGCCTTTAGATGGGCCTGCCAAGTCAAAGCGTGTCCCCTGTCTGTCCCCTGCAGCCGCCTCTCCCCGGGCTGGGGAAAACTGCAGGCTCATCCCATCAGAGTTAAGCATTTTTAGGACAGGTGACCCTAACTTTGACCACAGTTTGAAGGCCTTTGGAGCAGGGAGAAATGGCTGTGCTTGCTACAGGGAAAGTCACCAGGAAGAGAGAGAAAGAGAGAGACTGCAGTGCTAATCTGGCCAGGCTCCTATTCATGTAAGCTCAGAAGTCAGAGCAAGTGAATCCTTCTCCACCCACCGAAAGAACTCAGGCTTATGTGCTGGGTTTATGTTTCATTATTTGTAAAATGGATATGTGTATTTCATCTTAATTTATGATTATTTTTAAAACATTCTAATGGTATGAAATTCATTTCCAAGAACAGAAGACCAGTTTATGATGCACACATGGGATATTGGGGTTTGATTTCAAAGAACCCAAACCTTTTCCTTCTGAATGCAGACCACTTCAGTTCTTCCAGATCCATTTCTGTCACTTACACACACACACACACACACACACACACACACACGCACACCATGCAGGCTTATACGCTACAATGCCCTAGTCAGCACTGAGTCTCCATGGGCAATTTCCAGCTGACCAGATTGCCATCCATCAAAATTCCTGGGAAAGGGTATGA